TATGAATGTTCTCAAATACCTACGGGTATTGAAATTATTAAATATAATTCCTCCAAAAAAGTCTGGGTGGGAAAAATTCATGACATCTACCTCCCCAAAATAAAACACACTGCAAGGGAACAGACAGGAATAAAGAAACTTTTTACAAAATATACCGAGTGTGTTCACAAAAGCTGACATCTAGGCACACAAGCTTATGCTTTTCAAAGCAAAACAAAAACTGATAAGGCTGTTGGTCAAGTTTGTAATTTCGTTTGCAACTGAAAGGTGGAGACAGTAACCCTGTCTAAGCCTCCAACTTCTCCAGCTGAGATAAACCACCCTCATCCCCATCACAGGCAGCCTTTCTCCATGACTCCCACAGTATTTGTTTGGGGTTATGTTGGTCCCTTTCCCTTGTCGGCAGTCAGATCAGCGGGGCCTGGTCCCTGAAATGAGCTGCCCTGGAAGAACTTCACCGTCCTTCCCTGCGAGCGGGCACCGGACTAGGTCAAGCACGCGTCTCCGAGACTACCGACCACCCCAGCCACTCTCCACCGCACGTCGGCCCCTGGCGGCGCTGAGACTACTCAGTGAGGGCTACTCCGATATCCAACTCAAAACCAGAGATTATGTTTTAAGTGGGGAGAGTCTAAACCTCCCGACTCCCAGGAGAGGGCGGCGGCCGCGCAGCGGACCCCAGGGAGACCCGGCCGGGAGGGTGGACCAACGACGGTCGCCTGCGGCCCAGGCCGCCGCCAGGTCCCTACCGAGCCAGCCGCCCACCCGGGCTCGGGGCATCCCAAACCCAAAATCGGTGGCTCCCTGTAAAGTCTGTCCAGTCCTCTGTTCTGAACGCAGTGAGCAGAAACGAAGGGAGTCAGGACTGGCGAGCCACCCCGACGCAGCTTCCAGCCCCGGCCGCTCCTGATGGCACCCGCACGGCTCTGCGATGCAGCGCAACTCTCCCGGGGGTCAGGACCTTCCCGCGTGCAGACCCTCTGCTTTGGGGCCTGAATTTACACTGGCTCGCCTCCTCTGCATTCTCCGTAAAGACCAGCTATTTCCAGAAGGTGCGGTACAGCAGGAGCCCTAGAAGAGCACAAAGGCAAGGTCAAACCTAAACCACGGCCGGCCGGCGGAGCGCTCCGCTCCTCCCTCTGCGGGCTGCCAGCACCTCTAGTGCGAGCCCTCGGCCTCACCAGGTGGGTTCGCTAAACACAGCCCCAGGTTAACTGCTTACAACACTTCCCACACCTGGCACACCCTCTTCCCGGGCGACTCTCCCTTCCAAGGTCTTGCCAGACATAATTTCTGCTTCCTGGATTTCATCCCCATTAATCTCTCAATGAACTGTTCACAACCTAAAGAGAACTACTGAGCTCCCAGCTCCCTGCACACCCAGCGAGTCTCTTCTTACGCCCCCACCAGGCACAGACACTTATGAACTAATGTAACCCATCTTGCAGTGGGATCAAAGTTTCATGCTTATGCCTGTTAGCAGTGATTCTCAGCGACAAAACGATGAAAATTTGTTAAAATAGGATCAACTTTAAAAGAGAAATCCAAAGAGGATACATTGAACCCCAAACAAGACCTCACACAATTGATTTCACAGCCATTGCAGTTAAGTGTCACATCTACTTCAGGGATAAGTGTCACAGGGTGCTGCTGACAGCCTGACCACGGTGGCTCTGCCCCTGGAAAATGAAGATGGGGCTTCCCAGCAACTGTTCCTTTGTGTCATCTCAACTCTTCGATGGCCTTGGAGACGGGCAGGCACTGCCCAGGGTCTCACGCAAGGATGTGACACAGCAGTTACAACTATGCAAGAATTTCATAACTGTGTGCACTAAAACATTTTGTGTTAAAAACTGGCCATCTTTTTTTTTTTTTTTTGTCTTTTTCGTTTTTATCGGTACCAGGGTGGCCATCTTTTATCGAAGGCCCTCCTCTGAAGTATTTATAAATTACAGCACAAAAACCCCTGAGACAAATAATTCAAAAGATTGTTCCTAAGTTAATAAAATTACCATTGGATTACTCTTTGGAATACAAAGATCAGTCTCCCCCAAACTAAAATTATGAGTTAGTTGTATGTCAGACTTAGTGTCACTTGGTATCAGTAGCTGACATAGTAGATACAACAGAAAAAAGATTAAATCCCATTTAATCTAAGTAGGTGACTTTTTCTAGTTCTATCATGTGTACACACTATTTGCCCCAGTAGGCTGTAAGCCTCACAGCCACTCATCTCTAATCCAACACCCAGGCCCAGAAACTGCCCCTCTCACTGTGCTTCACCATATGGACCTCCCTCTGTGTGGGAGGCAGGATGCCGCAATCCCTGAAACCCATGAATTTGTGAGGTTACTGGGCAAAGGGTAATTAAAGCTGGAGATGAATTAAGGTTCCTGACCAGCCAACCCTCCTGACTGGTAGATAAGTGGGCCCAGTGGAACCCCACAAGGGTCCTAATAAGTAGAGAAGGCAGGCAGCAGTGAGAACCCGAGGGAAATCAGCCAGACCATGCTGGGTTTGAAGACGGAAGGGGCCCCTGGCCAAGGCACACAGATGGCTCCAAAAGCTAGAAAAAGTAAGGAAGGGGGTTCTCCTGTAGAGCCACAGAAAGAAAGGAGTGCATTGACATGCGTGGGGCGGGGTGTTAGGGACTGAAACCAGTACCTCTGCACTGAACTAGATCCCCACTTCTTTTCCACTCTTTATTTAAAGTAGAGTGTTGGGGCTGGGGATTTAGCTCAGCAGCATAAGCGCCTGCCTTGCAAGCAGGCAGTCTTGAGTTCGATCCCCGGTACTGATAAAAATGAAAAAGACAAAAAATAAATAAAGTGGAGTGTCATTAAGTTGCCCAGGCTGGGCTCAAACTTTTACTCCTCCTCCCTCAACCTCCCAGAACACGGGGATCGTAGAGATGCATCCCCACACCTGCTGATGTCAGACACCTGGCTTCAAGAATTGGGAAAATAATGCATTCGTTTTGCTTTAAGTCATTAAATTTGTAGTAATTTGTTACAGCAGCAATAAGAAACTAATATATCTATGTTCTAAATTCCTCTTATCATCAACCTCCTGCGCCTATTTGGCTTATCAACCTGGGAGAAAAGTAACATCCTTTCTAAGCTCTCAGCCACCCACTCACCAGTGTCCTCCTAGCAGGGAAGATTTCTTCCACGTCCCTCCCACAAGCCCTAAGTAGTAAGCATCTACTGGTGATCTCAGGCTCAGCTTTAGAGGCTGAAGAGTTTGCTGGGCAGGGTGAGTTGGGACAGAGGCTGGAGGGGAGGCTCATAAGCCTTCTGGGTCTTGGGTTTAACTGCCTGGCTGTGTTTACAGCGCCACTCGGGCCGGGCACAGCATGTCAATGAAACAAAGGACAAACATGAAACAGAGCGCCATGGGCAATGGCGTCTTGATCAAATCTAAGAGTGATTGGAGTTAATAAGTAACATAACCCCACCACCTTTTTCATGGCTTTAATTATTACAGCCAGTAAGAAATATTCAAGCCATCCCTGTTTCGTGATGTTTTATTTACCCCTAAAGGCTAAAGTCTTCATTAAATGCAGAAGAGTTGTGTTCAATTCGACACATGTGGTGAGATCACAGCCTGGTTTATTGTCCTTTCCTTACGCCCCACCCCCACCCCTGCAAACACAGCACCCAGTCACTCGGAGTGTGCAAAGCACAGCTGTCATCTGGCGATGCTAGAACTGTACAGTACGACCAAACTGATTTTTTAAGGACAGTCTTATTTCTCAGAAGTTTCCCTTATTCTTTCTCCCACATGTTAATCTTATCACAAAGTCATTTCCTACATCACTGCTCTAACAGAGGCTTCCTCAGCACACACCCCCCCCCAAAAAAAGTTTCACCCCTGTCTGCTGAATGGGGCTAAGTTCCTGACCAGCACAGAGCCCTCTGATTGGAGGAGCTGGACAAGATGTCCGAGCTGTAAAAGGTGGAGCCTGTTATCTACCGCAATCCACATGTCCACAAGATTAATGCCCAATACTTTTTCTCATGGTGTGGTAACTGTCAAGAACAGCCTGATTATGATATTTTTTCCCCCAAAAGGAAACAATTAAGTAACTAAATATGTTCAGGTGAACTCTTCAATAAAGAACAAACTGCAGCTCCTCACATGCGTTTTATCAGAAGAGTACGGTTTCCAGCTCATTCTGCCTGTGGAGTAGTGGTTTACATCTATCATTAGCATTACAGTCTGCAGAGCTGAGCAGGCATCAAAGGGGCCAGGATAATACAAAATCCAGACCCCGTGCCATTGCAGGAGCATGTGTGGCCTCACAGACAGGTGTGTAGGCCAGCAGGGAGTCAGGAAGGCCACTGCCTACCACTGACAGACACCGTGGAGCGCTGTGCCCCATTCCTCTCCCATGGCAGAGATGGAGACCGGCGCTGAGAAAGAGCCGGAAGCTTGGACAGAGGCATCATCAGGACAGGAAATGCACTGGGCCTAGAAACTGACACCGCTCCTTCAGAAATGCTGGTTATCACCTGGCTTTACTGTGGTTCCAAGCTGAATGCAAAGGTCAGCTTCGTGTCGGAGCATCTGCCTCATTAGCAGGACAGTGCACCACGGCACATGGCCCTCCTTCCCCCGCAGGTCTCATAGAACCTCCTGGTAGCAACACCACTCTAAGAGGGAAGAAGATGAAATACAGAATGAAGAGGCCAGGCATTACACTTCAGTGAGGACAAGACCACAGTGGCTGATTGGCTGTTGTATGTGCCATACTTGTTAATGCCGGCATCTGCCTGTGGAAAGGGTTTGGGTGGCAGAACGCCCTGGTGCTACTATGGCTTCAAAGTTCCCTCCCCAGGGCCTGGGGAAACCATTCTCTGCTCTGTTGCTGTCTGGATATCAAGACGGAGGCTAAGGTCCGTGCCGTCCTTTTAGCTCGACTTCCATGTCCTAATGCTATTCCTACCCAAATTAAATGAAACCCAAATAACATCTTCAACACACTTTAATTCTGTGGGGAAAGGAAATATGTCAATCATGCAGTAACTATAAAACTTTTAACATCCGGAAAACTGTTTTCACAAACTCTAAAGAATTTTTTAGAAAGTCAGTAATCCTAGCCTGTCATCACAACTCACTGTCCTTGACAATATATAACATCAATAGTTATTTTAAAGATCTGTTAAAATTAATACAAAAAGTAGATGAACGGCTGAATAAACAAACATGATGCCCACAGCGGGGATTAAACAAACTTGTAAAATGTGTCTGTTAATACAGCCAGCCCTAAAGCTTTTAAGAAAAATATTAATAAAAATGTTGCATTTAAATGTAGGGCAGAGCTTGCTCGAAATTCTGGTCTAGCTTTTAGTGAAGACAGACACATAAAAACACATGAATTTATCACTCAGCTGGTAACACAGAAGATTCACGACAGCAGCAGCCCTTAAGGTAGGGATGCACCCAGGGCCTCTGGTGGCTGCCTGGAGCTGAGCAGCACCATGACACCACAAGGGTCTCGAAGGGACTGGATGAACAGAACACCCAATATGGATTCTATGGACAAAAAAGGGACAATGTGAGCACTTTCTTCATGATACTTAGAAAGGCACGTAATTTAAAAGCTACAAATTATTTCTGAAATGTTCCATTGAATATTTTTGGACTGCAGCTGTATGCTGGTGACTGAAACAGGGGAGTGAAGCCTTAGCTAAGGGAGCAACTACCACACTGATATGTTATTTGCAAACAATCATTCTTAAATCTGCCGGTGCAACTTAAGTTCCCAAATTTTTATGCCAGAAGATTTGTGAGTACCTCCTTTGGACGCAGGCATAATTGTCTGACTGCCTTGCCAGGAGAGTTTAGAAAGCTAAATGACCTTCAATGACTAATCTGGGACCATGGAAGTGAGAAGCCACTGCCAGCTCCTCCTGCTGGGTCAGCAAATTAGTAGACTCTCTGGACACTGTTGTTCTAGACTAAACATATTGAATTCTTGAGAAACAGCTCTCACAGGTCTTACTTTTCACTCCTACAACACCACTTTTATTTGGGTATGTTTTGATTGATCTGCCTATTCAGGATGCAGGCTCCAGCTGCATATAAAGGGACCCAGTTGATCCTAACACTTCTTGCCATTACACTATTTTTGTGTTTGAGGAGGTGCTAGGGATTGAACCCAGAGAGCTACAGCTCTAGACTTTTTATTTTGTTGTGGCAGAGAAACTGCCTGTATCCAACACAGATGAACAGTTAGCCACACGGAAGGCTTCTTACCCAGAAGCCTTTCCCACACTGAGGGGACTAAGTTGCCCATGCTGGCCTTGAACTTGCAATCATCACGCCCCCTCCTCTTGAGTAACTGGGACTGCAGGTGTGTGCCACCCCACCTGGACTACTGTATGAGAATATTCCAAGGCATTGCACACATTACAGGCATGCTCCTGTGACTTTTGTTTGTTCAGGGGACCCTAAGTTTCTTTCAAACTTAGAGATCATCAGTCCTCCGCATGCATCTAAACAGTGCCTGGTCTAACATCGTCATTCAAACTGCCAGATTCACTAGCGGTCCCAGTAAGCCCTCCTCCATCCATACGCTCACAAGGTCGTCTGCAGATCTTCAAGAGATACTAAGCCAGGGGGCTGGGGATTTTAAGCTCAGCGGCATAAGCGCCTGCCTTGCAAGCAGGCAGTCATGAGTACCGATAAAAAGGAAAAAGACAACAACAACAATAAAAAAGAGATATTAAACCACTCCCAGGAACTGCTCCTGGCATTCCCAGTGGCAGCCAAAGCGCTGACAGGCACCCTCTGGATGGGACTTGTGCACCAGGAAATAACCTGGACTTGAGAAGCAATGAGTCCTGAGAGCTTCTACAGCAAAAGATGAGAAGGCTGATATTCGGGAAGCCCGGTGTTCGGGAAAGCACATGGTATTCTTCACAGCCTGGGCTTGCTGCTGGTAATTACAAGATGTATAATTTTTAAAATCCTTTATTAATGTAGCACTCATCAAAAGAACAGGAAGAAACTTCCTTTAACAATAAAGCCCGCTCCCTCGAGGGCATCCCCTCTCTTGCAGATCTTAGAGGAAAACATGCGCAGTGCCCTTCCGCTGCAGAAGCGCCAGTCATTCTGCAGCAACAGGCTCTGCCGTCATTTCCTAGGTCTAACACCAGAACCTCCACACAGCCAGCCACAGTCTGGATCAACAGCTCTGGTGACGAAGGGTTGTAGCTACAGATTCTGTCATTACTTTTGTCCCATGCCGCCCCCCAAAAGCCTCATGTGGTCATAGGGTTTTTTTAGAGGTGACTGACTCTCCAGTGTGTGATGCTGGGATCAGTAATTCAGTCCACTGGTAGGTCTGGCATAGTTCTGGCTTGGATTAAAGGTGTGAGTGCTGCAGCAACTCTAGGGTGCACAGCCTGCATACATGATAAGGAACAGCAAGAGTCTGGTCTCTTCGCTTGTTGCTTTTGCTATCTTGTGGGTGCCATGAACTCTTCTCCCCTGGAACACCCCTCTGCCAAGCTACCCTACCTTGAAATCAGCCAATTACGGACTAAAACCTCTATAAATGGTAAGCTAAATAAACCTTTTCTCCTTGAACTTTGGGTGCCAGATATTTTGTCTCAACAATGAGAAGAGTAAGACAGCTTTTTATCATTTTATTCAGTTTGTGTGCATGTGTGTGTGTGTATTTACAGTTGCCTAGAAACTAAAGCTCTGAAATCCCAGCCCCATGCAGGCTCAATTACAACTGCTAGAAAGCAGCGTGTTCCTCCACCACTGCCTGGGCTGGGCTCATTCCTATCCACTTCATCACTGAGTTGATGGTATCTGGTTTTCCAGAGAGTTCGCTTCAGCTGTACCATCCCTCTTGGTATAACTGGAAAGAAATGAGTGGTTTTTTCCATCCTTCTTGAATGCACTTACTCCTCCTCAGGAAATATGTTTCTTCAGGATATTATGCATAACTTTTAATGTGGGAGGCATAGACCACAGTGGCAGAGAAACGGCCTGCATCCAACACACACGGACAGTCAGCCACACAGAAGGCTTCTTACATAGAAGCCTTTCCCACACCGAGCCACTTTCATCTAAGTTCTGAGCATCCCGAACACATCGGAGGTGCACAGAGTCCACACCACGTCATCACACTCAGAGTCACAGCTTGTCCCTGGGGGAACTGGGGCTAAGGAAAGCTGGCTAAGGTGAGTGCAAATCAGGAAGTGACACCAGGCAAACCCTTAAGAAGGTGTAGCATCGCTCCAATGGGTAATGGGGCCCATTACTGAAAGAAATCGCCACCAAAGCTCTTGCACTTTGTCAAGACCACAGAGGTCTCCAAGGAGCTAAAAAAGACAGGGCAATGTCAACTCCTGAAATACCCTCTTCCCAGTCTTTCACCAGCCTCCTAGAAGTGCTGCCCAAAGGCTATTTTTCATTACAAAGTTAGGAGTAAAAAAGAAATACTAACATCCCAGAGAGAAAATTCAAGTTAAATTTGCTGGCAACCCGACCTTACTCAACATCAGTGCCTGCTGCACTGTGCTTGTTCACCCTACTCACAAGTGATAAAAGCCTGCACATGCTCCATGACTGAATGTGCCAGTACTTTTCACTTCTATATGCCACGGACAAAAATACTTTCCATGGTTATTGGTACAGCCTATCATTTTCTGTCAGTGAATTCTAATCACCCTTCTTGTTGAAATAAAGGATGACTTTTTTTTTTTTTTGGTCTTTTTTCATTTTTATCAGTACCAGGGATCGAACTCACGACTGCCTGCTTGCAAGGCAGGCGCTTATGCCGCTGAGCTAAATCCCCAGCCCCAAGGATGACTTTTAAAAGACTTTAAAATTCAGTATTTAGAAGCTGGTAAAATCCTTACCATTACTTTTAAGATCACAGTAAAGTTTAAAAGATGAGCCAAAAAAAATTACTCCTGAAACTTTATAAAAAAGCTATTCAAACTAACAGCACAGCTCTTGGGGCGTTTTAGAAAAGTACTGCAAAACCCTTGATGGTGTTGTCTACAATTTCCAAGCTAAAGAAGGACCTCACACACATCCTATGTTTACATTCAATAGCAACTTACCTGCTTCGGGTGAAAGTTTAAAGACTTGGTGCCAGATCCAAGCAAGCACACCTCAAAGGAGCACCAAGAGGTGACACAGGCCCCAGCTAGGAAGAAGAGCTGAAAGCCTCACGGGATCAAAGGGCCCAGAACCCCACCATCCCCAGGGGGACAATACTCCTTAAGTCCCAACACTCCTGGGACAGCTCTCCCTCCCTCTCTCAGCTGTGCCCAGCCCAGGCACACTTGAAACAGACATTAGTTTTCTCCACATAGTAAGAAACCAAAAAAAACAAAACCTAACCATTCTGACATTTGCTCAAAGGAATGAAATGCCACACTTTTGCTTTGTTAAGGGCAAGTAAATACGTATTTCACTTTATGGCAAACATTTTTTTCAAAGATTATAAACACCTTTAAAGAGATGGAAATATGTCCCCTCACATCTTACTATGACTTTGGTCATGTTAGGGGTAGCTACACTTAGGAATTTACATAAAGCCTAAGATATTTTTCCCCATAGGCAAAGATTAAAAGCAAGAAGGATACCAGATAAATTCTGTCTTCCTGAACAATGACTTCAAAAAAAAAAAAAAAATCACAAGATTCTATTTTCACCTTTTCAAATAATTACATTTTTAAACTGTCCTGAGAATCAGTAGTAAAATTTATTATTTTTTTAAAAAGTACCTATCCTCAACCTGAGTCTCAGGTTCAAAGAAAATGTGATCACATATAGAACTGTGGCCTCCTAAAGGAACCCTCAACCACCAACAACGCTTTAATAAATCATCTTAATCACCAAACAGCAAAAATCTGGGGAGATTTAAAACACAAATATTCATAAATCCTTTACGTTCCAGAAGGTTCAGTGTTGACCCTTATCACACAGCCTCTCCTCGGAGTCTGCAGCCGCCACCCTCAGAGCCATTCTACAGGTGGGTGTCAGAAAGCACATGGCGGAATTCAAGTCTGGGAGAAATGAATGGTTACAGCTGGAAAGGGTGCCTGCTTCTCTACTAACGAGCAAGCTGGGCTGCGGGGAACAAACTGTCTAAAAACATCATTTGAACCTGGTGTCGAAGGAATTTATTTTAAAAACAGCAAAGCGTGATTACCAAAAAAATTCCTTCAATAATTTACTACCACCTTAGATACCCAGGCTTTAGATCTTCAAGATGTTCCAACTGATCATGACCTTGAGTCAATCTCTTAGCTCTCGTGGCTCCTACAGTATGTGTAACTGGACTGGATGTTTCAAACACACTAATAATTAGACCTGGTCTCAGGAGGAAAGTGCTGTAATCAGTGTAAAAAGTGTCCTTCTTCCAAACTGTTAAACAAGGTACTGGGTGTACAGGGTATCTTCCCACCGTTCTCTGCTCGTCACAAATTCAAAAACCTATGAATCAGTCCAGTCCTTAAGCATCAGGGATAGGCCTCTTCCCAAAGCTCCTCTTCCTGAGATCTATATTACATTACCAAACAGTATCTGCTTTCTCTTGGTATGACTCATGTCACATCTGAGACTGTCAGCTGAAGAGAGCTAAAAGCATAACTGTTCCAATTCTCCCCATTTGAAATACATGGAAATTTACTGCTTGCAAACAGTTGCCTTTAACCCACATAAAGACCACAAAGCCAAATGAGTCCTCGAAGGCCACAATGTGAGAGTTCAGGAAAATGATCACTACCCAAGTAGAGTTTCAAGACTCTCTCACCTTTACTTTCAAACTATTTCAACCTCGGCGCTCGTAGATGTCTGCCTTGCTTATAATTCTCAAATTATAAGGAGCATGGCCTCCCAATTCTCTATCTGGCCTATATCAAAACTCTGCCAGCTTGGTGCGTCCTTTCACACCCTGGTGCTCACCCACCTCTTCAACTTTTAGTGCAAAAGAAAGGAGAAATGGGAGGGGGTGGCATCTGGATCCACTGTCCCTGGTCAGGGAGCTCCTTTCCCAAGACACTTGTTCAAAAGTATGATGAAAATACACTGAGGAACTCACCACTGCACTGTGGCTCTGCCAGGAAATAGCAAGTTTCCCTCATAACTGAAAAGTCCCTTGAAAATCAAACTGCTAACCAGAGTCAGAGCAGGGACACATCTTTGACATGCCACCTAGAGCACAGCTCTCCCATCTTTCATGGGGTCCTAAGAGCTGACAGCAAAGCAGGGACGGAGAACAGCATGCAAAATTTTTTAAATTGCCAGCGAGTTAAGCAAGCAATGTAATTTGATATTGTGAATTCCATTTTCCATCCACCAAATTTAAATGAATTTGGAGCATTTAGCTTCTGAATATGCAATATGATTTCTGCGATTTTTCATACATAGACTTATTATGTTATTTCATACTCCACCCCAAGTCCATAATGTCACAAAATAAATACCAAAAAGCCTGTATTGTGAAGATTGGATTTAAAGTTCCTATTTCTAAATACCAAAAACTTCTTACATGACCTATCTGGCAAAAGGTATATTAAATGGGATAAATCTATTGTTAAATATAGCATCAAATAATTGATCTAACATTTCATCTTTAATTAAAGGAAAACTTTAATTCTAGAATTGTACCTTCAGTAATCTAAGTTAACATGAAGAAGAATCATGACTTCATAAGCATAAGAACATGCTTATGACTGATAAGCAGGACCACAAATGTACATGCCTTCCAATTCTGGGTTTGTTTGTTTGTTTGGCTGGTTTTTTTAATCGTCTTTCAAACAAAGGTAGAGAAATATGACAGAGAAAGAAATTGGGTGAACTGGTTTTGCTGGTAAAAGAAGTCACCTGGTCAAGTAGGGGAGGTAACGAGAACAACAGAGATGCTTGGTACTTGGAGGACATGAGGCTCCTGAGTGGACAGGTGGTGAAGGGAACAGAGGAATCAAAAGGAGAGGCAAGCACGGCGCGCTGGAAGCTCAGGCAGGAGGATTCCAAGTTTCAGCCCAGGGCAAGAAAGCCTCACGCTGTCTCCAAATTTAAAAAATGAAAAATGGGCTAGAGATGAACTACCTGGGTCTGATCTTCACTATTACATAGACCAAAAGCAAGAGAGAGAGAGAGAGACAGAGACAGAAAGACAAGAAAAAGGAAAAGGCAGGAGAGATGACACAAGGCCACCCCAGCCTCACCCCCGATTCTGGAGCCTGCAGACTGCTCCATGACCTCGTGGTAAAGAGCTGCCTCTGAGATTAGCAGCACACTGAAGCAACACTATTCTTAGCATCTGTGTTGGCTAAAGTTGCAGGAACCTTCCCCAGCTGTGTCAGGTGTGCCTCCAACTGCACTGTTTCCAAGTGAAATCTCTCAGGACGGTACGTGGGCACCCTAAAAGAGCTGCTGTAACATGAACTCTCATGCTCCGGGACGTGGCACAGTCTTAGGGAAATCCCTGTTCTTCCCACTCTGCATACTCGTGGCTACCCCCCTACCTTCACAGAAGACCTCTGGGTACATTTCAGGGCAGCATGTCCTATAAAGGCAGCCACAGAGGACAGAGGAGGGAATGACAGAAATCACTCCAGCTCGACTTCATTCAGTCATATATGCACAGCACCTGCTTATGTCAGAGCCACCTTGTTATTCCTGAGTCTCTCCCAGCATTCACGAGTTATAAACTTGTCTCTGCTGCAGTTGAAATAGGTTAGAATGACAGAGTGCTAGGAGGGGACTCCCAAGCACAATGCAAGCTGCAAGGGCACCAGCTCTGCGGGTGACAAGTCTCCGGCTCATCCCATGAGCATCCCAGGCAAGGGTGCACTAACTACTGCCCTCCCCTGGCCCTCTGCAGAGGACACTTTCTCTTGGTTTCACCCTGAGGCTTCCATTTTAGTAACACCTCCTGATGGCTCGATTTACCTAATGGAGAGAGAAGCTTTAAAATTGGTGCTGCAGAACCTGTATCCCTTCCCCGAGAGGTGCAAGCACCACTCTGGTCTTAAGGACAATTTTCTGATGGGCTGTGAAAGGGCTCCCTGTCTGCCTGGCTCCTAAGGGTACCCCAGCCCCTATGGAATGCCTTCTTGGCCCCAGCACCCCAGGAGCGCACCTATAGCTGGGGACGGGTCCCCCAAACAAAAACTAGAAGCAGCCAGCCCAAGCTGTCCAAGAGCAGTGGAGCTTTCTGGGATGAACAGGGTGAAGCGTGTTTTGAGGCCCATGCAAGTCCCACTGGGGAGTTCCTGGGGCCTGAAGTTGGTTGGCGTCCCTGGGACATGTGCCTTGTGATCATGGCCCTTTCCATGTTATGGTTAATGTAACAGGATGAGAGAAACCACAAAGTACAAAAGCTACAGGGGACTGAGCCACGTATTCATGCCCCCTGTAAGCACTAGAAAAAGACATCTTTAGCAGAAACACATGTAATCAAAAGCAAGGGTGGGGGCTCTGGAAGATCAAAGCCCCTCAGTTGTGGCGCACGATCCACAAACAGGATAATCCCCCAGATATCTGGGACCAGGCAAGAGATGAGGGAGCAAAGCGTGCTTGCTTGTTTGAACTGGGATACGTTTCCTTCAAAAGGGAACACAGAATGACATAATCCAGCTACAGTTCAGGAAGCTTACGGTTTAATCCTCCCCACTCTGGAGGCTGGGCTCAAACGGCTCTGAGGTACACAGGTGAGCTCCAGCAGCACCGACTCCTTCCGAGGGAGACCCCACAGCCCCTTCCTCCTCCAAGAGAGCAGGGTGACCTCCTGCTCCCCTGCTGGCCCCTATCAGGGCATCTACCCTGTGTTGGGCCCCTATGCTATGCTGCTGCCATCAGGTACCAGTTTCTGTAAAACACTGCAAGGGACTCAATGTCTTCTCACGTTGAAAGGGAGACCTAGACGGTGCCATGTCCTGACATCCTGCATACACGGGAAGCACCCAGCCAACAGATGTCCCACTACAGATGTCTGTGAGAGTAGGTTTCATGGAGCTCTTCAAACTAAAAAGAGTAGATGGCTGGAGAGCCAAGACAGAAAGGTCCGCCGATCTCATTTCACTAAGTCCACACAGGTAAAAGCTGTGCAACCTACCGACTGCCAAAATAACCAGTGTCCGTCACCCACACACATTTGTGCTGGTGACTTCACTGGAGTCCATGTTGGGGGTACCCCACACTTTCAGATTCCGCCCAGATCGACCTAGCCAAGGGGGGGTTTTCATCAACTTAGAAAGCAAGAAGGTAGGGAATCATCAGCCAGGTCAGATGATAAAATACGAATACCAGAGAAGAGGCAAAGAAAGCATCAGTTATACTTCTTTCAGGATTCAATTATGCCACTTTGAAGTTCAGGATATTTGCATTTTAATAAAAGCCAGAAAGCAGGAGACAGCTATGTAACGGCATATTTCTTAGAAATAGGTTGGGAGTATCCATTTCAGTGTAACCCTCAAAGTAGAACTGGAACAGCCCTACAGTTAATCGCCGCAGAGGGGCTCATCTTCCATAATTTCCATACTGTGACTATAAACTAAATATACCCACTGTGAGGGTGACTGGTAGTCCCCTCAGATCTTGTAATGGATGTCAGCTTGATTCACATTCAGAGAGGAGGAAGAAACCCAGGACGGTGGCTGCCTTTTTACACTGATGGTCCCACACAGAGTCAGAGGAGGAGGAATCCATAAACCTCCCTCCCAATCCTGGGCGATATGGCCATGAGCTCTGTCTGCCCTGCATTTGTAAGTCTTCTCCATGCATGGGACATGGGACTCTGCTGAGGTTTACACGACCCTGGAATTAAAGAGTTAGAGTTGCATTTGAATGCTGAATTCCAAAATACAGGGTCAATCAAGTTATTTTCTTTCTAAAAGGTACAGAACAAATTTTTCCAAATAACTGAATTTGATTAATTTTTAAAAAGTAAAAGTAACCTAAACAAACCACCTTTGAAGCCACTAATATAAAATATATTCTCATTCTTTTTCAATAATTATTTTCCCTAAAAGACTTAAAGGGACAGCTTCAGTGACTGGCTAACTGCTAATTTAAATTTTCTCTTTTAAACTACCCTGTATTTCCTCTAACAGTATCATTTTGAACTCGGGGAAAAGTTATGATTTCTTACATTGAGTGGGTTTGTCTGGACCTAGAAACTAAATATGGTGAGCTGAAATAAAAATACAGGAAGGTTTCCCATCAGAAAATGCAGCTTGGGTGCTTCATGTGGAAACCAAGATGCACCTGGGCCACACTAATCCCCCAGCACTGCCCCTAGACAGCACCTGCCCTAGACAGCAGACCTAAGCAGCAGCAGCAGCAGCAGCAGCAGCAGCAGCAGCAGCAGCAGCAGCCACCGCCTCCCATCGAGCCCTGTGCCAGGGCGTGCCGGACCCATGGCCCATGCACCCTGGTCTCCCGGGACACACCAGAGACAGGTCAGCCCACATGTCGTTCCGACTGTACCAAGGGCTCTTGAAGCCATACGCAAAGGCTTAGTGGGACATCAAACTTTGTATTATTATTAGACTTACCACAAACTAGTCACATTAAAATGAATTTCTACCTTTGGCTTCAAGTAAAACTTTCGAGGAGCCTTAGCAATATGGCCGAGTTAACATTTTTTCTTCTGATAAGCTTCTGGAAAAGGTATACAACACTGAAAAGTCCAAATTATCAATAACAACAGGGAAGGAGGACGGTACTCATTACTGGAAAACCCACCGTCTCCGTCAGAGCTGAAACTGGTAAGTGCTAATAAAGCCCGACATCTCTCAGCTTCCGGCGATGAAGGCTGCCTGGAAGGCACCAGGCGGCCTGGGTGGAGGGCTGGCTGGCGGACACCTGAGAGGCCGGGAGGTGGCACACAGCACACAAACAGAACAGGCATTTATGAGTCAGGGCTCTGGGCAGCTCCACCCTGCAGAGAAAGCAGAGGGCTCAGAAAGGGCCACCCTGGTGGGACCAGCAGAGTTGCTCCTCAGCCCACATGCAGCAGAAGGGCAAAGGCCAGGACAGTGGAACCTGGAGAGCTGACTTCATGTCTGCATCTGTGTCACACCGGAAGGAGCTTGGCAAAGTCCCTGTGAAGCCAGAGCCTGATTTTTCACCCACATCTGTGCCCGATGCCTCCCAAACATGGCTTTTCTCAGAAACCTGTGGCTGGCACCTTGATACCCTGGTTCCCCATGGAGACTGCACGGTGACGGAGGGGATGCTGAACTGGTACCGGCAGCAAGGAGAGGCCCAAGTCTTAGGGGATGGTAGGGAGCCCAGCAGAGAGTCAATTTATAGGTGGAGTGAATGGGTGGTGCCAGGAAGTTGTATCCCCCACAGCTGCCTGGAAGCTGTACCCCCCTTCCCCCGCCATTCTCCATCAGCTCTGCCTCTTTCCACTTATACAACACTTCGGGTCTCAAGAGCATGGCATGGACCGAAAACCTGTGGGAGCCTGAAGCCAACATCGCTCATGGGATAAGAAATAGCGCCTAAAACTATCCTGCAATTCATAGGTAACTGACGTGCATGACACACATAATTGGCTGGGAGACTTTAATGCTAAGCCCCACCTATAATACAACGAGAATTTAAAAGACAGTGGGCTATCATACATTCATACGGAGTTCCATGCCGACAAGCTGAAGGCTGAGTACCCTCTACGATGTGACCCTGAGGCAGCCAGGAGCTTGCAGAATCCCCAGGAACACAGCGCTAAGAACACAAATAGCAGGAGACGTGCGGAAGGCACCTGGACCTCACTCACTGCTCTGCAGCTTTCCTGCAATGGCAAACAACTCTTGGAAAAATTCAACAAAACACAGCCTTCTCAGATTTACCTGGGGGTCCCATTTCCAGGAACCCCACGATGTATTAAACTCACACATACACCAGGGCTGGGCTCTGAGCCCAGACACCATGCATGACCTTCCACCTGGACACACCTCCCATGGGCACAGTGCTCCTGGGCCTCCCCAGCCCCCAGCCTGGAACACCTCCTGTGACAGGGACACGGACATACTGGAGAACCAGCCCTTGCCCGACAAAACCTGACCCCACGTGATGTGACAAAGTGCCTCTGGAGGGCAAGGTCACCACTGTAAGTTGAGGTCGGTGGAAGTTGTTTACTCAGCTAACAGAGCATAAGAATTACTTCTGCCGCCAGTGTGTGTACCTGGAATGCCTTTCCCCAGCCTCTCTCACCTGCCCTCCCTCTCAGGACCATTCGCCTTACTTTTGGATAAGTACAAGTTTAAAAGACCAGGGAGCCCACAACCAGGGTTCTAAGCCTCACACTTCTGCTCAAAGACTGGCTGTGAACCAGACTCCCAATGCAAGGGTTGCCTCATCTGAGTGCTCGGTTGCGACCGCCTTAGAAAAACAGGTGCACTTGGCTCGCCCACTACTCACACCTGAAAATCACACTAAACCTAATGAGCAACTCTGGCCATTGGACCCTGAAGATGCACAGTAATCCCAGATGTGTTAACTGATACAACAAAGCCTTCCTGCATCACTTCGGGGGGCCTTGGGAAACAGTCCAGACTCATACACATACCGATAGCTGCATTTTTAATAAAGGACCCTTAAAAGTTGCCCAATTATATCAACTAGAAACTTTTTAAAGCACATTAAACGTAACACTATACTGTGAAGAAAGAAGAAATCATTTGAGAGTCAGGAAAATGGATAGGGTTTGAAACTGTGATGTTAGTGAAGTAAGTCAGATACAGAAAGCGAAATAGGCATGGTTTCTCTTACAGGAGAAAACAAAAACATAAATGAGTAACACAAAGGAGAGAGGCACAACAAGAAAAGGTAAGCCTCTTAGGGATGGAGAGAGAGACAGGGATGGGGCAGGGGAAAGGTAGGGAGGAGGGTACAGAGAGACTGAAAATGCCAGGATATGCTAAGCGCCAATCCCCCCCCCCGCAATAAATTTAACTATGAGGTTTTACAAACACATATTAATTTAAAAAACTAAAATTGCATGGCTGCACAGATACCGTGTCTACTGTATATTAAAGCAATATAACTGGTTTGAATCAAAAAAAAAAACAAAAATAAAAACAGAAGTTAAAAATCCTTTGTCCATGTAAATTAGTATTTAGACAACAGCATCACATATACACACAAACTCACATCGAGTCCACAAGGAATACATCCAGGTCTGTACATTGCGTTGCGGGTAGAGGAGGAGACTACCCAGGCCAGGGCAACAGAGACCGGCGATTTTTGCTAACAATGCTTAGTAAAGCATAAAAAACTTAAAATAGCTCCCAGCTTTCTTTGTGTGTAAGAATATAAAACAAGAGGCACAGTTAAGGTTAGTTCTTAACTATAGCCTATGGCAAAGATATAAAGCAACTGGAACTCTCATCTATCATTTGTGGGAATGTAATATTTTCCACTTTGGAAAACAATGTGGTAATTTCTTAAATCGTTAAATCCACTGTATGAGTCCTAGGTATGTACCAGAGAGAACTGAAAACACATGTCTGTGCAGAAACCTGCAAGAGTCTCACAGTGGTATTATTCATGATGGCCTCGGGCAGGAAACAACCCCAACTGGCGTACAGCAGCTAGGATCTGCCATACAATGGAATACTATTCAGGAATAAAAAGGAACAAACTACCAACACATACTGCAACACAGATGGGCCTTAAAGACATGCTAAGTGAAAGAAGGCAAACACACAAAACCACCTACTTCACCTTGGGCAGAAAATGCACATCTAGGAGAGTAAGATGACTAGTTTCCTATTGCTGGACCAGGCAGCAATGGCAGGGTCAGTTGGTGGGCCCTGGAGATTCTTCTGGGGTGGTGGAAAATATACAAACTGGATGGGGACGATGGGAGCAGTCCTTGGCAAGTTTACTAAAAATTAGTGAATTGTTATGGTATACAAATTAACTCTCAAAGCTGCTGGAAACACACAGAGACACGCAGGGAACACACAGCAGGCAGCTGCGAAGTGTCCAACCTGTGTTTCAGTTGTGCTTCTTACCTTCCCGACTTCAGGGTGGAAAAGATGACATCAGGCCATTAGCATTATGAGAACGCAGAATTCTGCATTCGCTTTCCTCCTAGAGATAATAAGGGAGCACAGGGGGAGAGGGAGGCATGTGCAGAGAGCAAATAAATCTGCTCTTTCCCCATTACAGAGTTCAAGCCAGGTCAGGGCCCTATTAGACTGGAACCACGTGGTGCCTTGTTATCGCTGGGCAGGGCCAGCAGGGGCCCTGCGGGGGCCTGGGAAGGGGCGGAGCCCGTGGATGCCTGAGACCTTCGCACTGTGAACACAGGATTTTCAAAAGGGCAAAGCCAAGGAAGACATCTGGCCCATCGACAATGATACTCCGAGAAATTAGGAAATGACAGACTAGTGCAATTCATGCATTTACTTCATGTGACTTAAAATCTAATACTGCAAGCACAAACTGCACAAGCTCCAAGTAACTATCAACTTAACAATTAGGTATAATTAAAATATCAGCAAGGCTGGCAGGAGCCAGCCCCTCTTCCCTTCCCCGCCCACCTCCTGACAATTAAGTTCTGCCCAGCACCTTCCTGGGCTCACTGCTGTACCTACCCGACTCTGCACATCCAGAACACCTGCCCCTCCCCATCCTTGGGACAGGGTCACGGTGCCACCCTTCCTGCTGCTGTGGACAGGAAGCTGTGCTGAGCAGTGTGCAATGGCCGCAGGCTGGCAGTGCTCAGTGGTGCAGGCTTCGAGAGGCACAGGAGAGGAGCACGGGGAAACAGTGTCCCAGACGAGGAGCAGAGCCGTGCCAGGTGGTCCCTGGAGTTTCCAGACCACCACAGCCAGGGCCCCAGCCAGGAACCTCCCAAGGGCAAGCGTCTTAGGACCCTCTTAGAACTGCTGGGACATCAGGCTTTGAATAGGCAAAACAACATATTCCAAAGTACATGGTTGATAAGAGGACCCATCTGACAGACATAATATGTGATTATTTTTAGTTGAAATTGACAGGGCAAATTCCATCTTATAAGAAATGAAATATTATGGAAAAGAATAACAAGCAGGAAACCAGAACTGCTATATTTACCCCCTCCATCCCCGCCCCCAAGTATTTCCTCTATTTTGGAAGAAAGCAATGTCCCTCCACCCAGAGACACTCAGGCAAACAAGCGGCCGATGGGCCTCACTGGCATGGCGGGTCATGTGCCTGGGCCCAGCAGACACAAATGTCACCGCCTCTCAATGTCCAAAGAGTCACACGAACACCAGACAGGAAACTGCTCTGGCCACTGGCCTGGCGGCACCGCCCTTGGCCTGTGAGATCCTTAGTCACTCTCCTTGCTGACCGACAGGAAGAGCACCACCCAGGAGAAGCCACTGAGAACCGCCCGGAGTCCTCCACACCACCCCTCACTAGGCAGAACCGCTGTCCTTGGTCAACGGGAGTCAGAATATTCCAAGAATGCCAAGGACTGCTGGACGTGACCAGTGGTGTTTTCTCATGATTCACCCTGCAAGTTCCCATCCCACATTGTTTTCTTCTCATCCCTTCCTCCGTGTTCTAAAATGAACTTCACAGGGGAAAAGCAGGGATCAGGTAAAGAAAAGCAGCAACCTGCCTCAGCTGATAGAGCTGGCTGGCTAAGGAAACATTTGACATGAAAATTATCCTACATAAAAAAATAATTTCTTTCCCCATAAAAAATTCAAGCAAGCTCGTAATTTAAAGGGCATGTGGAGTTTCAATCCTTAGCAATTAGGGAGCCAGCATCAGTCCACTGGGCTTTATCCAATGACCCTCTTAACTACTTGAAAATGATGTCTGATTATCAAGTAATGTTATGGCTTATCTATAAAAACTTCTTTCTAAAAATTATCGATCCTTGATTACATAACCAAGGCCATTCTGAGAAGCCTTTTTAAATGATGCATAACCCATTACTCACAGTTGAGACACATGCTGGGCCATTTCTTCAGAGTCTAAGTGGGTTTCAGTTAGTAAGTCTGCGTTTAAGGAAACTTATTAACTGTTCCAAGCCGACTGTATGTAAAAATAATCATTATTGGAAACCAGGCCTATAGCTGTGGGGCAGGGAAAATGGACATTTCGGCAATTGTTTTTCAAAGCTCCTTGGAATTCCCTCAGTATCTTTCAGGACACCAACAAGTACTACATTTGTAGAAAATCAAAACTTGGTAACTTCAACCAAAATCAGTAACACAGCTCCAAAGACTTCACCTAAAGCCCTCTGTGGAGGAATCCAGTGGAAACTTCCAACAGACCCCAAGGCAGACTGGCGTAGGCCCCAATCCAGTCCTCTACTCTCAGCTTCCTGGGTCAGCATGGGAGCCAGGCGCGCCTGGGGGATGAACGGGCTGGGGTGTGAGCCTCAACACTGGGGACATTTCAGCCGGCCCCAGATGCTACCCCAATGCTCCAAACCCACATTCTCAGGGTCACTATTCCTGAGACCACATGCCCCACTGTCCTCTTGGTTGTCAGGGTTCTGTTCCCACTACAGAGCAGAGACACAGGGCTTTAACACCTGAAAGTGGTATTCCAAAGGCTCATCACTGATAACTGTTAACCACCGTGAGCACCTAGGCAGCGCACGGCAACTCCTTGCTGGATGAGGAAACTGGGGCTCACACAGGCGAGTCTGTCCAAGGCTTAAAAAAAAGCTAGGAAAGGGTGAAAATGGGATTTAAAGCTGTTAGTCTGATTCTGAAGTCCATGTCAAGTGCGACTATGAAAGGGAGGAAAGGACTTTAGATTCCAATTCAATTCTCATAGCACAGATGACCTACAGCGTCAGGTGCAGCCGCCTTCAGAGTTGTGTGGAGAGAAAAGTTAATGGAAGCCACACATACTCCGCAAAGAGGAAAATGCAGTGTCCACCCAGGCAGATGAGTGCTACCCCTGCTAACAAAACTAGAGTTGGGAAGTAAAATGTTCTCCACAAATGGATAGTTTTTTACTGGGCTATTATTATTAAAATAGCCACTTCATTTTAATTCAACATTATTTCTAATACAATATTAAACTATACTATAATAAACTATCTTTAAATAAGGAAATATAATGCTGGTAACCAATTTTTTTCAGAGGAGAAAGTCCCACCAAGACCATTACAGAGATACTTCCTTTATTCTTAATCTTCACGTAAAGGACATGGCTCCAACTCCAGAAACCCACCTCCCTTAGAGGAGGTAATGAGGGTGCTATAGTCCTCACAGATTAATAATGGGCCCCCTCCTTTCTCTGTAACAATGCATATGACCTTAAGGCAGGTTTACTACAAAAAAAAAAAAAAAAATGGACAACTGAGAAGCTATGAGTATCTGCTCAAAATCTACACCCACAGTGAGATATCCTGTAGCAAGTCTGAGTTCCCCCCTCCTGTTACTGCCATCAACTCCATCGGGAGCTACTTGAAGTTAAGCAAAACTAGGCAAGAAGGAATCATCTTTGGCCTTCTCTTCCGGAGCCGAGCTACACCTTCACTCTTTCCACGGGACCTCCCCTAAGATGGCTCAGGACACGTGGGGCAATTCTCTAGGCACTGAGGTCATGGTCAGCCTCTGAGTCAGAGTCAGATGCCAAAGGTCCCAGCTCTGGAAATAGCATCGCTAGATTCAGTCCAAGACGGGAGACTGTGGTCACACAGCAGGCCCCCGCCCAAAGCTCAGCCAGTGAAACTGTGTTACATCTGCGCTGCATGCCCGCAAGCACACACACCTGGTACACATCACACTGAGACCTCAGTAATCCTCTGCTGGAAGACATTTCAGCATCACTCAGATCTGTCTTATGGTATCCTGGTGCTCTCTGATTAGGTGACACTACTAAGCCAACGACTTAATCTCTAAGGAAGAACCAAAGTGCAGGCAAATCAGCACCTTCTGCACTGCTGGAGGGGAGGGGAAGAGCAGGCCTTCCAAGTCTGAATGAGCTCAGGTCTATCCTTTTTGTTCCTGTAACCCTGCAGGAACTATCCTGCATCTGCCGGGTGTGCTGCACAGAAAGTGCAGCTGCTGTTCCCCTAAACCACACTGTTCTCCCTCACCTTGTCCGCCAGTCCCCAAGAGAGTCCTGGAACAAGGTTTTCAGGACCCAGGTGCAGCCTTCATTTAATCAGCACTGATTAAATGTGGGGACAGGGGTTTGACTTGTCCAGTGAGCAAACCAGATGGAATGTTAAAATATTACACTTAACTCTCAGTTTGCAATATATCAAAGAAAGAACATGCAAAAACATAGAAAGCAGCCTCGCATTCAAACACTTCGGCATCTGGACCACACTTAGGTCTTTTTTTATTATTATTATTATTATTTAAAGAGAAAGAAACAAAAGAAAAAAAACAAAATAAAAAAGGGTAGAAATTGCTTGGTCTGCGACAGGTGTCACAAAACCTTCAGATAATCTGTGCTTTCTAAAGGCACTGGTTTAAGGGTCAGGAATATTGCCCAGTGGCAAAAGCATCTGCTTGGCAAGCACAAGGTCCTAAGTTCGATTCCCTGTGCCAAAAAATAAATAAATAAATAAAGGCTCTGGTTCAATAGGTCAATACATGAAGGCAGGCAGCTGGGTCACAACAGAACCCTGGCTTGCTGTCCACAATGACTGTACATTCAAAAACTGACCCAGTATACCCCAAGCGAGCCCAATGGCAAGACCCTCTCCTTGAGGTGGCTGTACGGGCATGATCTGGAGCTGTCCAGACTTCTTCCTTCACTCTTCAGTGTTCATGATTCATAGCATAAGCCTAGCCTCACCCGTCTCCTCGCCTGAAACCCAAAGTTGCTTTGTCTCTAGACCCTGCTAGGGAGCTGCCCAAGTAGATGGCTAGAAAGACCAGTAAGGGACCAGGGGACCCAGTTCTGGACCTGGGCCAGCACATGGTCTGTGCACAACCTCAGGACCTCCGTGCTTTCACTTGCAAAATTAAGGGTTTGAAATGGAGATGCTTGTAAGGCTTTCCCAACGTTCACGACCCCAGTCCTCCACAGCTTCTCCAGTGCAGTGGCCTTTCCCTGAAGCTTCGCTGTTGGCCTTTCCCTGTAAGGACCCCTCTCCTCCCCCTGGCTTAAGGCTCAGGACGCCAGATGTACCTAAGACCTCAGGAAGCTGTTTCAACACAGCCACCAACAGCTCTCCCTACTGCCTGCTGCACAAGTTTTCCAGTTGCTTTAGACAGAGCCTTGCTGTTGATGATTTTCTTTCCTGAAGTTGCCTTCATGTTTTAGTTCTTCTCAATGCTCTGATGGACAGCAGCATGGTGCCAAAACCAGATTTCCCCAACTCTAAAACATTATGTTCTCTAACAGAAACTCAAAGTGACCAAGAATTTAAGGAAAAATAATCACAGACATCTAGACTTCATTTTCTGTCTTAAATAAAAACATTGCCACTTCGTGCAATGAAAGATAATAAACAGCTAAAATCTTTTCTGACACAGGAAACTACAAATGATGATACAGGAAGAGATGGGCCCAGGATTAAGAGCCAGGTATCTGTATCAGCTCCAAGGTCCTACAAAAGGAACTTCAAAGCAAAACAGTTTGCGTAAAACAAAGAGAAACCATTACTCACTGAGTGTGAAAAATGATTACAAGTCCATTTAAAATGGTGCTTTGCTAGAAAGCAAATCTTATATCAATAGCCTGAAAATACTTTGAGAACTTCATCTAAAACGGTGACACTTCATCCCTAAAACGGACAAAGTGAAGAGAGACGCACAGGAAATGATACAGCAGCTCTGACACACACTGTTTGCTTTCTTGACTAAAGCCAGGACATGCAAATTTGTAAATTACCGCATCTGCTACTGGCCAAGGAACAGTTACAGGAAGAAACCAAGGTTGATTTTTACGTCTATAAATAAATGTGAGAATGTTTTCCTGTCTGTCATGGAGGAGATAAAGACCAACGCATGGCATCACTTGCCACACGTCATCAAATAATCACCCTTGCACGTCCTTTTCTGAAGAGGTGGCGCCCTACAATGTATCAAGTATTTAGGGAGCGGGGCTGGGGATTTAGCTCAGCGGCATAAACAGGCAGTCATGAGTTCGATCCCCGTTACTAATGAAAAGATTAAAAAAAAAGTATTTAGCAAGCACCAGCTGCCTTGGCGGGGGTACCCACCTGCCCCCCACTTGGACGGGGCCATCTCTGCCCCTCCCAAGGCAGGACACATGGTCACACAGCTCTGGGGGGCTGGCTGTGCCTGAGGCCCCCAGGCACACTTCTGCAGAAAATGAACCCCGTTTCACCAGGCTCAATTCCAGGGAGGATTAGAGTGGATATTTTAAAACCACACCTAACAGTGCCACAAGGACACAGAGGGCTCTGAGTCAGAATGCAAGCAGGTTGCTACAACTCCAACCGAGGCGGGAGGGTTCTGGGCACAGTGACTCACTAGGTTCTTGGGGGAGACACTGAGACTTCCCACTTACAGGGCCAGTGTTTCCGACCTGTGAAATGAAGAACAAAAGCATAACTAGGGCATCTACACACTTTCGGTGCAGCTCTGGAAATAGAAATATTAAGTCCTAAAAAGTGAAGCGGAACACTTACCAGAATGGCTAATACAAGTACATCTAACCGTACTGAGCCAAAGAAGAGGCGTAAGGAACTGGAAACCATACACAATGCTGGTGAGAAGGGCAGCTACTCGGAGGACAGCTTAGCCATTCTTCAACAGTTCAACACAGGACTGTCCCACGGCCAAACCATTCCAGTCCTAGGTGCACACCCTGAGAAATGAAACAAGTCTACACCACAAGTTACACTGATGGCCATAGAAGCATCATCCGTAACAGCACAACGATCAAAAGCTGCAAAAAAAAAAAAAAAAAAAACCTAACATCTGCCAACCAACAGTAAACAAAATGTAGCATATCTGTACAATGGAATACTATTTTATAAAACACCAAACTGCGGATGTTTGAAAATTGCTGAGACTTGAAACACTGTAAGTGAAAGAACCAAATCCAAAAGACCAAGTCGTGTGTGATTCAATTTGTATCAAACTTCTATAAAAGGCCTAAACTATAAAGTCAGAAAGCAGGAGAGTGGTTTGAGAGGAGTAGGGGGACTGAGGACAGATGGTGACGGACGCATCCTAACGATGGGTTGTGAGGCCGGGGTGCTGCTCAGTGGTAGAGTACTTGCCTAGCACACACATGCATGCGATCCTAGGTTCGGCCCCCAGTGTGACTCCTCCCAAAACTGGAGCTGTACAACTGAGTCTCTTACAACTCAACAAACTGTAGTATACAGGTGGTCTTTACAGATACTCAGATACTTAAGAGAAATTCAGAACCACTATCTTTTGTCAGCAGTGGGCGCCCCAGCACTCACATGTACTGCCCGAGTACATGTTTATGGTACATCTTAAACTAGTCTGTGTATATGTAACAGGGAGGGGAAAAAACAGCCCAAATTGTGTATGAACAGAATCCAGAAGCAGGTCTGTTTCTTTTCCAAATTCTTTCTGGGGTTCCTGTTTAGCATCTCATGCCTTTCATAACAACTTTTTTTTCTTGGACACCAAACTAAGGGTAGAAAATTGCCACAAAAATTAATAGCAGGAGTTTTGTGATTTGTAGTTACGTGCGCCAGCATAAAGTGAGCAAGGCTACCCTGTCTATGAAGATGTAAGAAAAGGAAGCACATATTCTATGACCACTTTTCCCCATTTCCCATGGCTTCCATGGTATTAATTACTACAAATCATTCGTTTCTCTGTTTACACGTATAAAAACCTGACCCTTCACAGTTATGTAGTTCTCAAACACCAAAATGTCTTCATTTACAGGAACATACATTAAATGTTAAACGTCTTGGAGATATGTCCATTTGTTCTGCATCTTCAGAAAGATAAAAGAAGTATGCAACTGCCTTTTTTAAAAAACACCTTTAAAAAGAAAAGCTGAGGTCATGCTATAGGTGTGGTCCTGAAAACATCTGGGACATTTTTTGAATGACAACACAACATCCAAAAATCACAAGAGACTGAAAATGCAGAACTCTGGAACTTTTGAAAAAATTCACCATGCCTAATTCTAAAACTTTTTTTTTTTTTTTTTTTTACTTTGACTTGAAACCAAATGTTTAGAGGAAATAAAACTTACTGATGAAAAGAGAAGGGAGAAAGTAACACAAGAGTGAAACAGGCTGAAAACTTTATGTCCCCAAATATAATGGTGGCCTAACCTTGCTGCAGTCCTTCAAGGGAAGATAAATACGAATTCCTAGTCTGATTTCGGGCCGTGAAGACAATCTGCCTCCCTCCTGGAGGCCAACGGGCCCTGAACACACCCTGCACTGTTCCTGCACACATCTCACTCAGCTCTGCTTTCTAGTCTTGTTTTTTGTGTATGTCAATTCTCTGAAGACTATTTTCTTTTCCTTCATGTGTTCTTTCCTCCTTGCTCAGGATTTTGTATAAATTTATCTAAATACACAAACAATGTGATAAAATTCATGTTACATATAGAATTACAAATAATGTCACAGTTCTGGCCCTGAGTTTCCAGTGCATCCTAAATCATAGGTGCCAGCACAATTTCTGGGATGGGTACCAGCCTACAAAACAAAGATAAATTTATTTTTTTAAAACTATATATTCACATAAAAGCATCAAAGCTATTTACATGCAGATAAGTCAAACTCCTATCTGAGCTCACAGATCAAGTAAAAGCATTCAAATGGGCATAGTTAATTCAATTACCCCACTTCCCACCATCACCCCCAGCCTGTGTGTATAAAAGATTGCTTTATCAAAACAAGGCGCTGCACACTAGTGCAGGGTGGCCTGAGGTAATGTGAATCATCTCAACGGTTTCTGCTACACTGGTTTGGGACTTTTATCACATGCTGCTTTATAAGTTATCTTTTGATATGCTGCATGTCTTATCTCCCCATAGCTAGAAATGACATCTTCTGTGTTCGTGGCATTTCCTGCTGCTTCTAAGTTGCTGGGGATTAGCTGACTTGGGTTTTCAGCAATCCTCATTTTCCAAAACATAAAGCACGTTAGTTTTCCTCCTGTGCATTTTTCTATGCATGTATATTGAGATCATATAAACCTAGAGTTAACATGATGGGTAAGAGTGTAAGAAAATAAAAATGGAAATGTGTTTTTCACAGAAGATACTTTTAAAAACATGACCGCTTTTAGTCCAGTCATCCTGCATGAGTGAGCCCAAGAGCCTGCTTAGCACATGGAATCAGGGACACAGAAAAAAAGATTCCACTAAATACCACTGTCTGTGTCTCACAAACATGGCCAACTTAAGTCTGTTTGCCTCTTATAAAATGAAGCCCTCTACATTTTTAAGTTCTAACAACAAAAGACTTTAAAAGATAGCAAAGTAGTAAGTTTTAAATACTTTACCTAAAATATCTGATATGGTTCCAAATCTATCCTGTAAAATACCAAAAAAGTCACTCTCATTTCACACATAAGGAAAGGAAAGCTCAAATGCCAAGTAACAAAAGAGAAAGTGACTCACAATGAGACACATCAAAGAAGGTTACTGAAATTTAAGGAACATATATGGAAGACCAAGCTCCTCCAAGGAAAAGCAGAACAGCAAATGCTGTGGGAAAAATAGAGTAACATACTTAGAAAACTGGAGTAAAACCAAAGTCAAGGATTTTATAGCTAGCCGAAATGACTTACTGCAGTAACAACAAACTTACAAGCACACATGAAGCCCCAAGCTCTTGCTGAGAAATCTACCTCAAGACTAGCTTCAGAAACCAAAGTGACTGCTGAGATACCAACCTAAAGGCAGACAATGAGCCTGTAATGCAGATTTGCCTGCAGACTTAAACTGTGGTTCTGTAAGGACACACCACAGTGTCAGCAGTGTCTATGCAGTGGTGGCGAACCTTTAGCCTGCGTGCTGCAGCAGGCTGTCCGCTAGCACTGAAAGTTCCGGAAGGTCTGCCATCCCTGGTCTCATGGCTCCAGTGCAGACGCCCATCAAAGGCAGCAGCATGGAAAGACTCCATCACAACTACAATCAGCTTATTCACTGTCTCACAGGTATTAATCTAGAAGTAAGAGATACGATTGTAAGCCAATGTTGGAACTAAAGAACGAAGTAGCAAATAATACTATTTAATTTCTCAACAGCTCACAGTAAGGAATCAATACACAAGAACAAAGTTAATATTAATAAGGAAAGATAACTATTAGGACAAGAACAGAAGACCTCCCATATACCAAACAGGACAAAAATAATTCAATTATATAAGGAATCAAAGCCAATCATACTGATTTTACCAACTAATATAAACGGGCTCAACTAGTCTATCAAATAAAAGGATCTTCAGAGAAAAACAAAAGTCAAGGACTAAGGAGCAGGGTCTGTGGTGGAGAATCTGCTGAACATGTGTGAAGCCCGGGTGCCATCTCCAGCACTGGGGGCAGAGGGGCCCACAAGGAAGAGACAGGGCTAAGACCAGCATCTGGTCTTCTTGTCTCCAAGCTCTTTCTAGGAGGGATGAAAGAGATCATCTACAATAAAACCAGGAAATTTAAACCACATACACTTTAACAAAAACTTGCATCGTTTGAATAACTAAAAGTTTACTGTCAGTAAAAATTATAAAACCCCTATAGCCAATATGAGTTTATAAAAATAAAGTATGAGTTATAATATAGTATAATATAAAGTATGAGTTTATAAAAATAAATATATCTTTGTGGGATTCATTCATCTAATTCACAAAGCGAATATCTGATAAAGTTTTACCTCCTCCCCCACCCCACCCTATCCAAACTAGCTATACAATAGAACCTAGGGCCCCTGCACTGAGCTCTGACAGCTCTTTTTTATTTCTGACACTCAGGCTCACTGAGTGGGTAAACTGCCCAGGCTGGGCTCAAACATGCAATCTTCCTGCTTCAGCCTCCAGAAGTCATTTTCTAATTGCTGGGGATTCAGTGTTGAGTATCATTTTTCTTACATATCTGCAGAGATCCAGAAATATAAAAGTGAGACACATATCACCTGGGCTTAGGTCCATGCTCGTTAAGGCCTCTCACAACAAAACAGGAATGTAAACAATGGCAGGCCATAACTCACTATGATCCTAGTAGGTGCTACTAAAAATAATGTACCTTATTAGTGCTCGGGGACCAGGCACAAAGCAGCAGCTCATTAAAACACCTAGGATGAGAATGACTGCCGAATCAAGTATTCTCTCACAGGCCTACAAGAATAACTGAAAATCCATGAAGTTCTTCTCTTCTGGCTCCTTTTTCCAGCTGAACTCATGAAAATGGCTTTCATGTTTCATGGCATAGAAGAGTTGATGGCTGCTGGCATCCGATATACTAAAATCAACAAGAGTGTAATTATCTGCATGCTTTCAAGTGTTTTCAAAATTCATGCTGGCTGGGAGTTTCCTAACTTAGAAATGTGTGCTTAACGCTGGTGGTCTAGGACTGTCAATAACCTGACAAAAAAGAATCTTAAAATCTTGCCCAAAGCATTTTCATCTACAGCAATTACTTGACTAGTATGGACCTCACCCACTTTCACGAAGTGTTTGATGCAGTCTCTCAACATCCTAATGTCACACTGCTGGCTGTGACACTACATTAATGGTACATTTACATCAGCTGCTCCATGTAAAGCACTAGGAACAAGGCTTGACACATGGTAAGTGTTAGCTACTATTATATTAATAGTTCCATTCAAGCATTCTTTTTAAAATATGCGACTAAAGTCTGTGAGGGTGAGTGGATGACTATACTTTAATTTTTGCCATTATGTTAGCTGAAAATAGGAAGGAATTTTACTACATTTAGAATTCTCCAAACATTTTTTTAATTGCAGATTCTATAAAATAAATCTCTGGAATGAATGAAACTGTAATGGCATAAAATTATACAGGTCAGACTTTCTTCTTATGGCTACCAAAATATACTTATTAGCAATTCTTCCTAGGTCCGGCTTTGAAAAGAAGAAGAAATAGGAAAAAAAATTCCAAGATTTGTGAAGCCTAATCTAATTTGAGATGTGGGTACAGAAGATTTAATATTTTTGTTAAGGATTTATAAGAAAAAAGACTCAACAAACAGGACTGAGATAGGAGTTCTAAATGTTCTGGAATAAAATAAACTGCGTATTAACAGTACCATAATTAGTCCTTTTGTTTGGTTTCTTTGTAATTACTTTTAATAAATTACTCTGCCTCCCCTCATCACTCAAGTAACTTGTCATCCAAAGGCACAATCGGTACAACGCAGGACACAAAGCCACTCACAGAAGGGCGGGCTAGGAGGAGGAGGGTGGGCTGATGGCTCCGGAGCTGTGACTCACAAGATCCATGAGGCTTTTCCACGGAAATCAAGTGTCAATGAAGCTATTGTACGAGATTGTGGGCTATATAAATGGAGGCCAGTTATGACTTCTCTCAGGGCAACGGTGCTCTCAGAAAGAGCCAAGGAGAGCCAGCCTGGGGCGCCACACAGAGGGAAGCCTGCCTCAGGTGCAGAGGATGGGCTGCCTCAGTGCCCCACTGCTGGACACAGGGCAGCACTCAGCAACTCGCCATGCCAACGCTGAGCTGTGGGAGCTGACGGCTCCGGAGTCCAGCAACCGTCTACTGTTACGGGTCCAAGGAAGAGCTATGGAATTTTTATCCTTCTCAAATGCTGGGTTCCAGAAATCCAAAATGAACATAAAATAGGCTTTTGCTATAAAAGACCAACAGCAGTAAGGCACTTGGGTAAGTAGTTTAAAATGTATACCTACCTTGATCACTTTGAATATTTTCAGTATTAGCCTGTAATAAAAGTATCTCTCTCTTACAATATACAAAACTTAAAATGGAACAGTACATGGTGCCAAATACATAAACCTGGAATCCAGGCTGAATTTTCTACACAATTTTTAAAATAGTCTGTGAATTACTATTCCAACTAAGATTATCACTGACCATGGATCAGAGTCAAGTATGTAGAAAGGAAAAAATGAAGTAACAGTAGACTGAAAACACTCCGTAATTCAGGAAGGACTGTTACCATGAAGAAAAAAAGAGCAGTAGTTCTTCCGCACACTCAGCATCCCCCTCAGCTGAAATGGCCACTGAGTACATGCGGTGCACACTTCTCACGCCCATTGTGAGATCCTCACGCTTCACTGTGGATTTCTCCAGGAAAATGCCAATACATTCTAAATAACTTTATTGGATCCCAGGCCTGGCAGAAAATAGTTAAGGTAACCTTAAAAGGTACTGTTGTTAGAAACTGCCCGCACCAAGGCTGAGTTAGACCATCGTTACCAGAGGTCAGTCTTGCCTGGACACTCTCGGGCACACACTGGGCATGGACATAATACTGGTGAATTTCCAGGGTTTGAAGAGTAAGCCAAGGGATTATCTCTGATACCACTGTGTGCGTTCAGTGATGACCAAAACTAGCACTGCAAAATTATTCCCAGTGTATTATCATCAGGTACACAAAAACCAGGAGGGGTTTTTAACAAAATGGAATCTTTTTCCTTTAAAGGAATCAATTATAACCTACTCACACATCTCCCTTAAGGGAAGCACTATTTTACAGCCTTTGTTATATTCTAATTCTTACAACGTTGATAAATTTTACTTGCATGTACTTATGAAAAATAGCCCTTAATTTCTGATTGTGATGCATAACTTGCATTTATCTTTGAATAACTTAAAAGTAAAAAACAGGAAAAAAGATTCATTCTTCATCCAAAGTCTACAGGCATTCTGTAAACGATTATTTTTAAAAAGATGTATACAATGCGCTGCTGCGGTAGCCACTTTTCACATGCCCCTGGCAGAGTGGCCGGTCCACTCACAATTGCCCTTTGTGCTGTCATACATGTTCTTCTTGCATTTCTATTGCAAAAATTATTCAGCTAAATAAAAGGAGCTTGAAATGATGAAAAATGAAGAGTATCAGAACAGGAGGAGAAAATGTCCCAAGACAGAAGCAGAGAGGCGGCAAGTCTGTTGTTTTAAATGAAGAAAATAAAAAACAGCATGAAAGAATTCAGTTACAAGGGGCTGGGGGTTTAGCTCAGCGGCATAAGCGTCTGCCTTGAAAGCAGGCAGTTGTGAGTTTGATCCCCGGTACCGGTAAAAAAGAAAAAGACAAAAAAAAAAAAAAAAAAACAAAGAATTCAGTTACAGCAACGAACACAAGCTAGAACACGAAGCTAAAATAAAATGGAAATAAATGTCACAGGAGATTATGAGGAGATGTGTAAGAGAAGAGGACGCATCTTCAGAAAGGGTAAAAACACAGCACAGAATGGCAGTGCAGCGATGTGGTGAGTGGGAATGACATGAAGCAGGAGGCACAGAGGCCAGCAAAGGCCAGGAGAGCATTTTAAATCACTTATCGGGGAGCACATCTCACTCACCCAATTTACTTTATTTCACTATTGGTTATTTTAACCCGTAGCTGAGCACAGGCTGAGTTTGTTTTGCTTCCTGTTCTGAGTTCACTGAAAAACTCAACTAGTATTTCAAGTTCCATCAAGCTGTGCCCATCACTTGGCACCTTGGAGAATTTCTTTAGGGGAGGAAAACAAACAGGGAGACGTTCTTTGCAAGCAGCCCCTTGCCTGTAAAGAGCCTGGCCTTTCACCACCTCTGTTTTCCTTTCTCAGGCAGGTCAGAAGGTTCCGCTTTCCACCAGGCAGTAAAAGTGGACCCTCCTAATAGGAAGAAAAATGTTACAAGCCTCGCACAGTTAATACAGATGAGGCCTGCAGATGCCAAGGCAGACCCCTGGGGGCCAAGGGGAAGGGCAGTGGGGTGAAGGGGAAGAGAAGTGAGGGCAAGGGAAACAAAGTGGCCATAGAGCTGGACCACAAATAACTAAAGCTCACTTTTTTATTTGACAGTCGTATAAAAAGAATGAAAGCTGGAAGGAAAAAAACAACACATTTTCACTTTAAAATCGATGAAAGACACAGTGGTTGCATGAAAAATAAAAAGACAAAGTGAATAATTTGCATCAACATATGGCACGGCAGACATTTTTAAAAAAATAACTACAATTGATAGCAAGTTAACTACCCAGGTTCCTACCCATAACACGTTTGAATCCTAGCGAAAGAGTGGCAGACCATCCCCGGTAGAACAGTGCGATGTGTGTTTCGGAAGAGGGGGCACAGTTCGGGACAGCTTCTCCTCTTCTCCCGAGCGTCCCGCACTCTTCTACCCGGCCCCCAAAATATCACTGGCTTTGCCTCAGGAAGCTCGGAACCTGCTCCTGCTTGTGGCAGGGGAAAAACAGTAGGCATAAGGCTTGAGGGCACTGAGCAACACTAGAAAAGCCTGGGGCAAATCGGGAGGAAGGTGCCCTGCCATGGGGACACCGAAATCGCCTGTCTTTTTGCCCCTCCACAGGTTGGTCCTCATCCAATGCATGCTCCCTTCAGGACTGCGGCCCATGTTTTCTGGGAGGGAAGGGCAAGAGATGCTTTCTTCTGGAAAGTTCTAACACAACGGGCTGTGACAAGGACAACAGTTATATGAACAACTTCCATTCTCTGGTCTCCCCCAGTTCTTAGAAGACACCGTGGTCAAGTGATGGGTGTCACGGATATGGTTACCTCTAGTTCCCTCTTGGCGGCGATGACACCCAGTAATTCACAAAGGTAACAGCTCCTCCTTCTTGCCAGACAGCATGCATTCAGTATTCTAATCTTATTTTGGGTTTACAAAATAATAGCTACAAAATTTTTCTTTTAAAGATGTGGCACCCTGTGATATTTTTTTCCCCATTCTTTAGCTATTTCATGGTCTCATTCATTGCCCTGCAAACATTTAAGAACACCTGAACGATGAGTGATAAATACACATCACGGACCACAGTGTTCCGAGGTATGGTCCAAAAACTCAGGTCTATTTGCAAAAACAATTTTTCTATTAGTTGTTTCACTGAGGTCATGCACATGCCTGCCTGCTTAGAAGGGAAAGAGCTGGGATACCCCTCCTGGTGCACACTGAACGTTGTAGGCTGTCTGCCTACAGACAGCCATACTCCTAGGCCAGGTCTTTTTCCAACTCTTAGACCTGCCCTGCGGTATCCTTAAGTGCACTTTGGAACTCTGGTATCACCTTCGTGACAGTGTGCTTTGCGTACATTCTCAGACACAGCAATGCCCAAACTAAGGCAACTCAGCCCAGACGCTGGCAGCAATGCTATCAGCAAGAATTTGGCTTCAGCGCCGAGAGTGATTCATCATACATTCTAGCAGGAGAAAAACAACACACCACTATTTTAATCCCTTGGTGCCCTCCAGAACCAAGAAGACAGTAAAAATATAATTGAGCAAAACAAACGAACATTGTTATCTGCTATACCATTTGTAAAATATATTGTCCCGTTTTAAGAATGTTCTAAGTCAACTTTGAAAAGAATGGATGACTTACCTTATTTCAAAATACTTGTCACAGTGACAAATCAAGTTTTAACCTAAGACAATTTCAGGAGAAAATCAGGCACTCCAAACTTCTACAGAGTAACAGACTGAAAAATCAAGGCTTAGGAAATTTCTCCTTTGGCATTACCGTCTTGTAAACTCCATGTTGGTGTTATAAAAAGCAATCCACTTCTTCCGTGGCAGCTCTCGGAGGACACGGTTTAAAGTCCAGCTGAGTGAGTTACCAGAGCCAGACACGAGTGGGAAATGCCCTCGGGTGCTTTCTTTCCCCTTGCAGAGGGGCCTCGGCCCCGCTAATCACCACCAGTGCCCTAAGCACGGGACCAGCTTAAACCCTGCGGCTGCATCTCCGGAGCCCGGGACAGGTCTCCTGCGGGTCAGCAGAACACAATGCGCCGGTGGGCACAGGGCGATCGCCCAGCATTTCTACAAAACCTTCCATATCCTTCAAAATCATGGCTGCGGATTCCATAAAACTTTTTTTTTTAATGCTACTCTGACAGCCCTGCGCCCGTGTACCCCACCCTCCCTGGCAGAGCCCCTACCTTCTCAGACACCACCTCCTCCTCTTCCTCCTCCTGCCTGCGCCTCCGCTTTCGGGGTCTCCGGTCTAGCTGCATCCATCTGGTGACCTGGGGTGAAACCCACAGCACACCTCGCACAGGTCGCTTCACGAGGCCCGCGAATCCCCCCAACCGCGCGCCCTGGGATCCCCTATCCCCCCACCCCCACCCCCCGTCCCCGCACTCACCTCTGCGTCCACCCGCCGCACCAGTCCGCAGTCCGCCCCGGCCGGGCGCGCCCCCTGCAGCGGCTGCAGAGGGAGAGACACACGGCGGGGTCAGGGCCTCGCACTGGGACGCGGTCACCGCCGCAGCTCGCGCCCCGCGCCCGGAGCCGGAGGGGAGGACGACGCGCCCGCCCGCGCGGGGGCCGCAACACCTCGGCGCGGGGGCGGGGCGGGGCGGGGCGGGGCGGGGGCGGGGCCTCCTTAAAGGTACAGGCACCGCGCCCCCGCCTGGCCCCGGCGTGCGGATCTCCGCTGCAAACCTTGCTCTTCCTCTCCGGTCCCCCGCGTGCCGCACCTGTCCCCCCACTGACGCCCACGCAGGGCCTCGCAGGTGCGCGCTCCCGGCCCAGGATCTCACAGGCCCAGTGCAAAGGAGCCTCCCTCCTGACAGCCAGAACAGCACTGGGGACCGGAACAGGACCTTGGGGAAAAGCGCCGCTGTGCAGCAAAACTCGGCCTTCAGGCCCCCGACCTGGGGGGCCACTGGGTAGAACTGAAAGGAGCAGGCTGTTTTCTCCATTCGGGAGATGATTTCTACTTCGTTTATAAAAAGCGTGCGCTATCCCCAATTTCCCCCAACCTCTAAAAGGCTTCCTCGCTGTCCGCATGGGAAGCTGATGGAGCAGACTGCTAGCCAGGCTGGGAGGAGAGTCCTCCTACCTACTGACTGGACAGGCCCTTTAACTTTATCGCATTTCTTTAAAAAAAATCTGTCTTGCCCTCTTTATTGCTTCTCCATTTTTCTTTCAAGATCAAAAGGTTTAGATCAAAGCCAAGATCCAACTCACTACTTTAAATAGAAGCAACTTTGCCATGGAGTATTGTACACAAAGACAAGCTTCTTAATGGAGACATCAGAGTGGAAAACTTTATTGTATCCCTCCATTCTACATTTGTAATCGGACTACTTAAAAGTGCATTAACGACGCACATCTATTTCCTAAAATATACCACAGCTTTATTCAAATGGGGGATTCTTTGTGTTTCTAGGAACACACACAAAATCTAACTGTAGAGAGAAAGACACATTAACCCTTTGGCATCATTAACCAAGTGTTGTGAAATCACACACCTTTTCCTAAAGATTTTTCAGCATATCTAATCTTGCATGTATGTACAGTCATCACCTACAATTTTCTGTCATAAAGGGAACATTAAATGGTTAATGCTTTGTAATTTTTGGTTGCATATACACATGAGCAGATTTTAAAACTTACAAATGAAGTGCGTCATGTGGAGCTGTTTAATTTTAAATGCAAGGAGAACTTTGAACTATTCAGGCTTCCATGCTACTAATCACGCTTCCAGAATCAATAGAAATCTATCCTGGCTGATGCTTCCTTTTACCTAGAATTTTTTTCCTTGGAGTTCACTGCCCCTGGAACTCTGATACCAACCGTTCAATATTGATGTACTAAAACAGTGCCGTGCTTAAAAGGACCATTCTAAGAACACTCTTTTTGTTGACTTGCAATAATTTTTCAACATATAGACTTAGAAGGAACAAAAACTAAAATACATTCCATCCAGTATCAGGAGTAAAGACAGCTATTGCAAATCAAATCTTATGACTTCTATGAAAAGCACAAGTTATGAGTGGCGTTATGGTTTGTGTCTAGATATTCTCCCAAAACCTCATGCAGTCATAGGTGAGACTTTTTCAGAGGTGGCTGGATCTACAGTGTGTGATGCTGGAACTGAATCATGGTGCAATGCTAGGATCAAGGGCTCTAGGATTAAGGGTGTGAGCACTCCCTGCCCGAAGTAACCTGGATAAGATAGAAGGGTGAAAGAACTGTGGTTGACCCTTGCTTGCTTTTGCTGTCTCCTGCCTGCAGTGAGCTGTTTCTCCTCTGCAATCCCCTCTGCCATGTGCCAATCTGCCTTGGAGCCAGCCAAATGTGGACTGAAACCTCTAGAAACTGAAAGCCAAATAAACTTTTCATCCTTTAACACTGGGCATCAGGTATTTTGTCTTAGCAATGAGAAAAGGGACTAAGACAGATGGTTAATACTTGAAAGCTTTTTTCCCTTTATAATTTTCATCAGGTTGTAGTCTCAATCATATATATACACACTGTGTGGGCAGTAAAGAGGGCCAGACAGATATTCTTTCAAGAAATGCTGTTGAGTTAAAGGGACGGTCCAATCAGTAGGTGGTCTTAATTCTGGAAGCCACATGAAGTCACTGGGAAGATCTCGGGAACTGAGACCTGGAAACCCTACCACCTCACCATAGGCAAGGCAAGGTCTCCTTTCTCCGAGCATGGAGCTCACAGAGAACCTCATGGCTTCTGGCATGTGCTGTACAAAGGGAACAGTTCTGTTGTCACTCTTCCCAGTTGTCCGTTCTAAGTAGTCCCTCCCAAATGTCCCTTTGTTTGTCCTCTTGCCTCTCCTCACAGTCAACTTGTCACAGCCACAGAGAAGCTGGCGTGTAATTCCAAAGCCTGTACCAGTTACACCACATTGCTTTACTGCCGTGCTTCGCCCGGCCATGTCTCACTTGCCCTCTGTTTCTAACGTTAAACAGCACTTCTAAAAGATCTCTCCTCACTCTGTGCTCCAAATTATGTCACCCATGACTCTTTCTAATAGGATCCTGTTTGTCTTCATTCAGGTGATTATTTAAATATTTTTAAAAATTTTACTAAGAAACTTTCTTTTTTACAGCAATTTTAAGCTCATGGAAAAAACTAAGCAGAAAGTGTAGGAAATCCCATATTCCTCCCCCTGCAGTTCTCCTAGTTATTAACATCTTGCATTTGGTTCAACTGAGGAAGAGTACGGTAGATTAATTACAAAGGAAGAGGCAATGTTGATGCACTATAACCAAAGGCCCAGAACTTATGTTCGGGATCACTAGTGTTGTACAATTACTGCAGCTATTTTTACTAAGTCATTACTAAGAGGAATGTTTATCTCCCTCACTGGACTATATGCTCTAAGAAGAAAGAGATCCTGCCTCTTTTGTTCTTGAGTTTTGTCTAGTCACTAAGCACATAGCAGATGCTCAATAAATATGTTAAGTGAATGGAGGCATAAAGGGACAGATGAATGGATGGCACATAAAACTTCAAGGGGAGGAATCGTAAGATTTAGATTTTTCTAATTAACTCCTGTTTTGTTTCCCTGCTAAAATAGCTTCATTTTCCAAGAGCACAGAATCTCATTTTTAAAAGGAGACACATCAGTTACATTGTCAGTATTCTAAAATGACTTTATGAACTAAAAATAGGAATGAGAAAGGTTCCTAAGATTAGTCACTAAAAATGTATTCAAAATGGTGGCAGGAGCTCAGTTTAACATAGAATGAACAATGAATGTGCTGTGTGACACTGGAAAGAATATTAATTTTATATGTGTGTTCAATACAACCAATCTGAATGAATTTTTCTTGTTATCTATCTAAATCTCCCTTTCTTCAGGGGTTCACATCAGTGAGAACAGATTTTGGAGAAATTGGAGGAAGACCTTTTTTTTTTTTTAAGAAACTGGAATTCTGTATCAAGGATGGATATTTTAATAACTATCTTTTAGAATGTGGTGAAAGTACTTTAAAGCTATCTTGAAAAAAAACAGATGTTTTCTATTTAAATTATATCTTTTAAAATGCCTCAGCTAGCAGAGAGGCAAGCTGAGAAAGGAGTTGTCCTAAGGAACTTTCTTCTCAAAGCAATTTATAAAAACTGAAGACAATTTCAGAGGCCAGGGAAAATGCCACTGTTTGAAAATAAAAGCATTACTTAACCTAGAGGCTGGAGATCACTTTAGTAGGAAAAATCTTTTTCAGCTTCTACTTTTGTGGATCAATATTGTTAGTGAAACAAAAGTTACTTCTGTCTCTAGAAGAAGACGGTGACTTCAGTTTCACTTTGCTATCGTGTGCGTGTGTGCGTGTGTGTGTGTGCGTGCGTATGTATGCTTTCTTCCCCCTCCCCTTCCTTCTGAATGGGGTATAACTCTGAGTGTGCCTTCCCCGTCACCCGGAAGGCCTCCGGGCGAGCAAGAGGTGCCCTTTAATTACCCTCAACAGCCTTAGATGGCAAATTACCCTCCCCTGGGCAAAGCCGAGGGAAAACCATCCACCGAGAGAAGCCAAAGGACCTCTGACTACCAAACAAGGTCTAGAGTTCCGGAGCTTCACTGGGTTTTGGAAAGGTTCTACTGCCAACGTATATTCGGGATGAACTAAAAAATACAGGTCTGGAAAGAAAATCAAGATTAAGCTGTAGCATAACAAGTAAAGTTAAGAATAAAGCTGTCAAATGTTTATGCCTTTAAGTTTTGTTCTATTGTTTTAAAATGTAAGTCTTTTACTTTAGCTTTTTTATTTTAAAAAAATTACATATAATTTGTATTACTGCCCATTGTGTCTCTGTTAGAATGAAGGCTTCGTTTCTTTCTGAAGAGTTAGGCCCTGCCAAATGGACCTCTTAGTGGAAGTCCTTATAAAGCATATTTTTCCAGAAAGGAAATCAATCCCATGCTTGGCTTAGCTGACTGTGGAAGTTTATGGCTCTGCAGGGAACTCACAGAACTTCTTCCTCTCTGTAACCACAACCCTGATCTCACTGTTGCTCAAAGACAGGCGAAAAACATTCAGAATCCTCAAGTTTGTCTCTTTGTTTTTATGCTGTTTTGGGGTCCTGCACATACCGTACAAGCACTGTACCACGGAGCGATGCCCCCAGTGGTCTCCCATGTCTTGACCTTCTCTGAGAATCTGCTGAAGGCCAATGGTACTTTAGCTCCCTAAAGAAAAGGTTTCCTATAGCACACACACACACCAGGTTTCAGGATATTCACAGATTCATCTGATGCCCAAACTCCTTTCCTGGATACTATAAAATCCATTCTGGGATTTAGCCAGACCACCATAAAGCTAGCCCTGGACTTCGTCTTTTGGGTAGGCTGTGAAAGTCCCCTTACCACACTAAGTTCTGCTAAGCAGCTATCAGCCTTTATTGAGGAGCATTATAGGAAACAGCTCCATAAAATCCATGGCAGTGTTTACAGAAGGA